TAGGATAAATAATGTTTATCAAATAAATTTAAAAAAATCCTAATAAATATTATGAAAAATTATTTTAAAGTTATTTTATTAATAATTCAAACTAATCACGTTTATTAGAACTTTTTCTTCATTTAATAAGTAGTATTTATTCTAATTAAAGTTTTTTCGTCATCCTGTATATTTTTGCAATTATTTATCGTGTATTTATATTCATGTAGGATAACAAAGCCATAAATATCACAATCATTGTTGGAAATAATTATGTTTCATATAAATCTTTATTATGAGAATTTTGAATGATTTTATCTTTATTCAGATGGGTTTTTATGAAATAAAATTTTATTCGTAAATTATAAGAACGATTGTGAAAGTAATTTAACTTAAAAGCAAAAAGGTGAAAATTTGAAGTAAAGTTTTATCATATTTTGATACAATAAGAATTTAATTAACAGATAATGAAAAGATCTAATATTTAAATTAAGTGAGGAAAATCCGATGAATTTTTCTCATTTCTTTATGCATAGAATATAATAGAGATGATTCGATGCAATTATCGAGATTGAAATTTTGAGATTTTAAACAAAATTAAATTTTCTCTCTCGCATTTTTTTGAATTATAGTTTAGTTAAGTTAATGTGGTTAACACAGGATTTTTTAATGTTTTTTGAAATACGATTCACTTTTATAATAAGCTAAATAAACTATAACCTCTCTTCATTATTACATGAAAATTCATTTAAAATAAAGTAAATTAATAAAATTTTATTTTTAAGGATGAAACTATATACATGCATAATAAAAATATTAAAAATCTATGTCATAGCAAATATTTAATATTTACATATCATCACGATATTCTATATTTTTTTTAATATTCACAGCAATAAATTATGATTTAATTTATTTCATTTCCGGATAAAATTGAAATAAATAAATGCTTATATTATAGAAAATTTTCATTGTAATTTAAATAATAATATAATAATAAAAAAATAATTATAATTCTTTAAAAACTATTTTCTAACCTTCTTGATCACAAGTTATAGCTTGAGCTATAAGTACATTGGCTTGAGAACATGATTCTCAATTAGGCAACCAGGCAAATTTGTTAGACGTAAATTAGTGTTTAGTAAAATGAAATTTCATCGAAAATCAAACAGAGCATCTCCAAGCTTCCGTTGTTTAATACGATAGTGATTTTCCGTGCTTACACATGAGCGAATGTAATCCACGCAACACGTTAATCATCGATTACGAGGTTATATCCCACATTATACACTGTTTTGTATATCTCTCGAATTTTCCTCGTTTATTCTATTGCAAACGAGAATTCGCATCCCCAATCATTTATTGAAATGAAAATCTGTATTTCTGTTAAATACGTTTCGCGGTCGGCGAGCTTTGTACGATTATGTCTCGATAATAGATTTTTGCCTCGATGAGACAGAGGCAGAGCCATCTACTACAACTTCCTGAAACTATTTCGATCGAATAAGCGTCTAACGGTTTTTTTGTTATACACAATACTGGTCCGCTTTGATGTTCAAACTTTTACTCGTTTTCTCTAACTAATCGCTATCGTTGCCAATTTTTGGAAATGGAGCCTCGGGATAAGTGTTTCGAGCGTGCCGAATGAAATAAAATGGCTAACAAAATTTGATTTTCGCACCGAATCTCATCGATTATTTCGAGCACATATTGTTATTTTCGCAAGAAAAATTAGTTTTAATAAATAAGTTCAGACTGTGGATAAAGCGAATATTGTTGATCTTTTACAATTAGATTTATTGTATATATAATTCTCGCTAAAAGAGTAAATGAGTTCTAGAACAGTGATCTTCCTTGTTAATAAATCCCGATATATTATCGAGGAACTATTATAATTGGTAGAGATTTATGACCATTAATCCCATTCCATATTCTCTTTTAAGTCGATCAATTTTCTGTAATACGCAACTTTTGTATAACTTCACTCAATTAACATTTAAATGGCTTCCGTCTAATTTATAGTTAATTTATAGGTAAATTAATATATTTATATTATATATATAATTAATATTCGTGGAAATCTTTATCATCTTTAGAGATATCAATTTCAGAGGCCAAAACAAACAAACATTGATATATCAATTTCATGCTTATTTATTAAATTATGAACAATTTAATTTCGTATTAGATGAAACAAGAAACAGAATGAATTTGTCTTTGTTATGTTGTCATTGTACTCTATTTCTTTTATCTAACATAACCTCAAATTGCTTATATCATAATAAATAACTTTTGTTTTGACTTTTAAAATTGAATAGAATCTATAGAATCTTCAAACATGTTTCACGAATATATTGACACGTTGTATATATTTGAAATTTAATATTTCGGATTAGTTGGGATCACTTGATCTATTGTTACCATAAAATTAAATTTTTTAAATCAGATCTTGCAGTATTGTATCATCGATGAGAGACTAAGTGGAACTTCAACGTTCTTTTTCTTCTTTTTTCGTATTGGGTTACGTGCCTTATCTATGTTTCCTATATTCTATATTCTATAGAAGTGCTATTTCACTAGGACCTACATTTACTAGTGCCATATTGAGAACTCGCTTCCAATCTTTAATTTCTGTGTTATATGACCTATTTATTCGTTTATTCGTATGATGTCTTTTCTTTGTTACAAAAAATTCTTTATTCTGCCAATTAATGGCATGAAATGTACTACAAGTAGATATATTCTGAAATTATTATATCATGACTTTTTTTTCATAATCAAAGTTAATTCAAATCATGCAAATGATTTCTTAATCAATTTCGTTATTTTACAACATAAATATTTATTAAATATTTAGTAGAACATTAATTATAGGATATTTTTGGAGAATCAATTCTAGAATCTATAAAAAAATTACAAAAATGTTGTTGAGATTATTAAGTTATAAACAATTTAAGTTTGCATTAAATGAAACGAAAATAAAAAATAATATAATACAAAAAATAATTAAAAAATAATCGATAATTTTAATTCTTAACAAAAATTATCTTGTGTTTCACGATATATAATTTATAATTTTTAAAATTACATTAAACTATTTTTTAATAGATCGTAACTCGATAATTTATTAATATCTTTGGTTGATAAGTTGTTATGTCAAAGAAATCACTTGTTGTAATTATATTATTAGTTGATAAATTATTATGTCAAAGAAGTCACTTGTTATAAAATGTTATTAAAGGTTAATTAAAGATTTTCATGCGGAAATAAATGTAATGGCATTTCTATATTAACTCTTCGAGATTGAAAACAACCATGTTAATCAAAATATGTCATAAAATTTCTATCTCTGATGGTTACTAAAGTAATTCGTTATCATAACCTGCATTATCTTCCGTGCCGGATTTTATTACAAAATTTCATTGTCGCATTCATTCGAAATCAACAAATATCCAAAAATAAATTGTAGATAAAATTCAATTATAACTTAATTGAATTATGTCAAAATTATTTCGACTCAGTATATTGTAAATTTATGCATTTAATTTTAATATGATATAAAATTATTGTACAATGGAAATTAAAATATATTTTCAACCTTGAGTGTTATCAAAGTTTTTTCATCTATTCGTTTGAAATAAATATATACATAACTTGGTTAAAAATTAAATTTTTCCTTTTTCAAAAAGTTATTAAACGTTCAATTCAAAGTAATGTATAATAAATAAAGATCGCGATATAATATTAAATATCATTAAACATTTCATTAATAATAATACATTGTAAAAAAGTAAAAATTTCATCATAATTAAAATTATCTCAATTAACAAAATGATAAACCGAATGATCAACCCTCACTGATCAAATGATATTTTCTTAATAACAGTTTTCAATTATAATTCACCATCAAATCTATTATTATAGAAGAAAAATTAACGGAAAAATATTTTTTACAGATGATAACCGTACGAAGACAGATTGGAAGAGGCGAAAAATAACCAGTAGCGGCAAGCGTACAAAAGCATAAGAAAAATAGAATAACAAAGAAGTGAAAGAAAGAAAAAGAGACGAGAAGAAGGGATAGATAATAGAAGAAGAGACGTAGAAGGTAGACGTAGAAAACAGTGGCGCACACGTTTCGAGGAAATGAATGGATACGGTAAATGCGAGAACATCCCATCCAGAAGGAACTAGGAGTGATTCTAGACATTAAATGTACCCTCAAGAATTCAGGTTTCGCCCGAGGCTCTCGCGAATCTGGGATGGCTTCGAGCAATGATGATATCCGATTAAGCCCAGCTAACAAGTTCGCCGACGTTCTATCGTCCGTAAAAGTAGATAGGTTTTAAATCGAGTCCAGCCTCGAGAACAAGGCAGCGTTGTAACGTCGTTATCACGGCGAAATAATCCGTGGCTTATTGAATCCCAATAATATAATGGAAGTAGAAGAGACGAAACGGTAATAGTTGATCATATGTGGAATCCTCTTCTACTACTATATATATATATATATATACATATAAATATATATAATTAGAAATAGAGAAAATCAGGGAAGGTCAGTTTTTGGTGGCGTATTATATCTGCTGTATATATATTGCTTCTATACAATTGAAAGAGGGCAAGCCATAATAGCCCGAGTTTCAGTATAGATATCAGTGGTCCACTATTAATTTTCAATTTCCATTTAATTTTTTTTATCGACGAAGAATTGATCTCGCAGAATTTTTTTAGTAAAATGTAAATATATATACAAATATAGCCATTAAAAAAAAGAGAGAGAGAAAAAGAAAATTCAAAGCGTTTTAAGAAAAATTCAACTGCTTGAAAGAACGAAATAAATTGACCATAAAATCGCATCCAAAGATCAGGCCAGTGATATAGTTTCTAAAGAGTGGAAATGCAATAAATGATAAACAACGGCGCAACGATAGAAACTGTTAAGAAGATTTAAATTACCCGCCATCGTCACCGCCACCATCATCATGCAACAACATTTAGAAATATAATATTTCATTTTCCTTGCACGTGAAACAAGACTTGTTTCAAAGCTGGCCTGCAATTGTAATATCGACAAAGAAATTTATAAAGAACACGCAGGGCCAGAGAACGGAGAAAGTATAGGGATTAAAAGAAGATACATAGACGTCTTCACAAGTGTCCTTAAAAGCGTTGAAAAACCGCATTCATTGTCGCGTGTGTGCCAGCAAGCTCTCTCGTTTCCTACTTCTGGTTATGGAATGAACCGATGTTCGACTGAATTTTACGGTTGTCCGTACTGGTTTAGGTTCTGCTACCAAACATCATCATGACCCCAATGATGCGGCTTTTCCTGCCGTTATTACCGCTGATATTGTCCCCCTACTCGACTATGATTTGTTCAGCGAGCGGCGATGGTGGACCTAATAGCCCAATCTTCAATCTTGATAACACCGCGCTAGAAAAAAATCTAGCGGCAATATTTAACAAAGTGGCGCACAGCTCGGCGACGACAAAGCGCAGCGTGCCAGCCTATGATGCTCAAGTTTCGGCCAGTACAACCCTTTCGACGGTACCGTCACCTTTGACGACGACCACCACGACCACAACGACGAGCCCGTCGATACCATCTGTCAGGTATCCTCCCGTTCCTCGGGCGACCATGTCGCCAGCCTTTCGCGAATTACCTTCGTACGCTCCTCCTTCCCGTGCCCTCTTCACTCCTCCTTTACCGCCCGAGTACCTTCATCCATTCGCAAATAAGCCGACGCTGAGAGGAACCAACTCGGATGTTCATTCGAGTCTCAAGAGACCAGTACCACCGCCAAGCGGGACCCCGGCTCATGAGAGAATACCCATCAGGCCACCTGACCTTCAGGGTCCCTCTCAAGTGCCGGAAAGACATTCTCATTCTAGAAACAAACCATTGAATACGCCCAGTAAGGAGCAGAATGTGTTAGAGTCCAGTGAGCCGGACAGAAGAAACAATACCAATGAGTTTGTACCTACTCTGCATTATCCTAGCATCTCAAGAATATTATCGGGCAGCAATGGCCGTAAGCAAGATATACCAGAAATACTTTTGAAGCCTCTGGCTACGAAAAATCCTGCGCAAAATGCACCGGTGATCCCGACCACCGAAAAAATGAGCACACCATCCACCACAACGGCCAGAACATTTAGCACACTGGATTCTTCCAAATCTGTTACGCAACCGACGATTTTCAACCTGCCGAATACCAAAAGACACGATGACGACAGTTACCATGGTCTTAGGAATGAAAATGGTTTCAAAACGGAGAATATCGAGATCGTGGATACGGAAAGACTTCCATATCCTCAGCCACAACCTCCTGCTCCACCTCCGAAGAGGCCAAACGAAGCTGGTGATCGTACTGTCCCGCAGATCGACACGCATCCCCTTGAATCCACCTGGCGGATCGCTTGGTTCCTCCATGTATATATCGCAGCAATTATGTTCACATTAATGGCCCTATATTCGATCTACAAGATCGTTCGTTTCAACGAGGCAACGAATCTACTCACCCAATCGTACTTCCTTACGGTCCATTTGCTTCTCACAACCGTATGTACCTTGAGGTGTTTTCACTTATTTTATGACGCTTATAATTTAGGCCGTTCACTGCCCGAGCCTTTATCCCGAGTGCTCATGTACCTACCGGCACCTTTATTATCGACGGCGTTCGCCACTTTGGTACTATACTTGGCACATTGCTCAGAGGCGCCCTCGTTGAACAACAGGTTCCTCTCGCCAGCAGCGCTGGTTCTGTCTTCAACGATTCACGTAGTCCTTTGCGTCTCCCTGCACGTGTCTACGCACGTGCTTGGATATCAGGATGAGGCGAAAATATTACCGTTGATCTGTCAGTGCATTTACATCATTGTGTGCGTGACGCTTGGTCTTGGTTACATGTATGTTTATCGTGTGGTACGTACGCAAATATTGCTAACGAACAACAAGACAGCTGGAACAAATCACATAGTCGGTGCCGATCCTACCACCATGGCCTTGAGCACCGCCATCACAACCAGTATCGCTACTGCTCTTTTCTTCATTTTGATGGGATTCGTCCAGCTGTACGGTATCTTCGGTAACGTCCAGGAACGACCGCAATCGTATCCATGGTTATGGTGGGGCTGGCAATTCTCCGTTAGATTGCTGGAATTGGCGGTGTGCGGTCTTCTCGCCTGGGTAGCTAGTCTATCCCAGTATCCGTTACGGGAGAAACAGCTACAACAACACCCGGTTCACTCTGGCTTCGCTCTATTTCCATGCGGTAGCTCGACTTCCACCGAGAATATGGACGACGTGCTTTACCCAGCTATCTGCAGTACCAACCAGGCGATCCAGAATTACACAATGAGAACTGGGAAACAGGTTTATGACGATAGTTTCCCACTGAACACGCTGCCCGAACATTTGAACATATCAGGTATCGACACGCGTGTACGCACGCGCTTTCGTGTAATTGATAATCCGAATCAACTAAAGAATTATTTTTCATTTTTGGTTCGTGAGAAAGTTTAGTGATTCTGGGAATATCTTTTTTTCAATATTAAAATGGCGATTATACTTCCATGATAATCTGTCAACTTCTGAATATCTCATTTACGTGAATTTCTTTTCTTAAGATTATTTTATATTTTTATGCCATGTGAAGATTAGAATTTAAAATTTGATTGTTTTTCAATTTTTATGAGAAATTATAAAATTATGTATTATATATATCTTGTATATGCCTCATTTGATGAAATTTTTTTTTATAAATTTGTTTTATAAAACATAATATTAATATAAGATAATAATTTTAATTAGGTTTTCTTTTAGTACTTAAAAAATAGTAGAAATTTCTTTAAAGTCTTTTTATCAATCTAGTTGTTTCTTTGAATTCGTCCTTTTAAAATTGATTAGAAATCTCTTAATTTCATTTTATTTTTTTTTAATAATATATGAAATGATATAAATTAGGTTATCGTGCAATGTGCAATTTCAATTAATGTGTCTTGGGAAGAGTTCAAAACGCTGACTCGCGGTATTAATACAATATTGAAACCTCAAAATCAGCAGTTCTTTCTTCACTTTGTCTTCTAATCGGCACACTATTACCTCTAAGGTGGTGCGAACGGAATAGCATATTGTCTGGGAACATTGATTTTTTTCTATTCTGCCTTTTTAAAGACTACATATCTGAAAGCTTAATGTTGAAAAATAATTCTATGATCAAATATTTAAAATATCTTTTGCCTTTGTATTTCGAAAAGATTGATTGAAATTTTGACAATTTAATTAAACAATTTCATTAATTCAAATTTCAAATTCCTTCATATTCTTGAATAGTAATTATTCATCTATTCCTATTTCTAAAAGATTATCTTAACATCTCAAAAGTAATATTTCTTCTCTTCCTCTCTAAATGAAACTTTTTTTTTCAATTCCCAAAAAAAATTCTAGATTTGCGTAAACGAGATATATATCACGAACCATAATGAAACAAAAAAAAAAAAAAAA